GCCATTTCTATGAGCAGCGATTTTTAATTTGTGTGACATCATATGCGCAACTGGCATCTTTTTTATCCACACTGACTCTACAGCATTCTCTGTAAGAAGGCATGATTTGGTTTAAGGCTTGTTTTTAAATCAAAATTTGGTTGCAATTATTACACAATGTGAAAAGCTGGGAATTTTGAAGGGTTGAGCGTATGATGTCACTTCCTTCGAATCACTAAAAGTTGCCAGGAACGCAATCGCTTAATGGCGGACTCAAACGGCCAAACTTTACCGGCTAAATGCAACATCTTCCCAGTCTCGTATCGAAAAAGAATTTGGACAGTAAGCTATATTACATATCTAGTTTTACATGGTACAATTTCCAGGGATGGTGTCATTTTCGTAAGACTAGCACTTTAAATATTTATTAATGGGTGTTAAAATTTGGGAATAAATAATTCACTCTCATGTGGGTACTAATTATTAAAGGTAATTCTTATGCAAATGTCAATAAATTCTTGAATAACATTGTTTGACCTTGACCTGTATGAAAGTCAAGTTCACAGGCCTTTTGTCCACCTCCCATCCCCTACCCTCCCCTGACATTTTCTAGGAAAGGAGGGTAGGATGGGATGAAGTAAAAAAGCTTTGATTTATACTAACCCATAGTCTACTTTCATGTGTTGTCCATTGAAGAATAATATTGTAGCAGGTATAAGAGTGATATCGAAGTATTTCGTGTAGACGGGGACATCATCAACATCTACGATAAAAATATCTGCCATTCGTGCCAGCTCTTGGGAGGTCTTTGAAAGCTTTCGATATAAGATAAACATAAAGTGTTTGCAACAATTATTGATGGGTCAAGTAACTATATAAATAGGGAATTAAAAGCACAATTATTATTATCTTACGATGTCATCAAGCTGCATACACACGGCATCCTTTTCTTTACCAAATCTCAACACCAGAACTTTATCTTCTGTATTTTTGATAGCATTATCGACATCTTTCTTGGTTTTTAGCCTCTGAAGCAGGTAGCTCATTGTTAATAAACTTAAAATGACTTTCTAAATTCAAACCTTCAGCAAACTTCTGCCTCGTTCTTCCGCCATTTTGTTTTGAAACAGTAGCCTAGCCTTATTCCATGTCGAGAGAACCTAGACCCTAGTACCTCTTTTTTTTATATTTTCTCTTTTCCCATCCATTCAATCCCATTCTGTAGCATTGAAAAAGATATTTAGGAGTTCAAATACTAGGAAAACTACAGCTATTGGTAATAAAATAATTATTTGTAAGAATTTTAGCTACACATAGAAAAGATTCGGGATTTGATGAGGTAAAGCAAAATTCTTAGTTCAATTTTTAGAAAATAACTTCCTTCATATCTTACATTTTTGGTTTTATTTTATTGTATTTAGAAATCCAGAAGAAATTCCACAGATTCCAGTCGCTATTTAATGATTTATTATTTGATTTYGATAGAGAGTTAGAGGACCAATCATAGTTGGCGTTCTTAGGATGTTGTGAATGGTTGCACGAGGCCATCACGCATGCTTGCGTAGGAGAGAGAAGTACAGCTATGATYGAAACTTTACCGTTTTTGTTGTCAAATTTAGGTTTTTTCTGTCATTTTTTCTTCCTTGATCCTAAGTTTGATAGAAGTTTTAGACAGTGTTATGTTTTTTGATGTGGTAATGATTGGTTTGAGTTGGTTGTATCGTGCAGAATGGACGAAAGGACAACTGAAAACAGCACCAATCTACAACGACATGGTGGGTAGCGAAAGGAATGTTCTTCTATTGTCAATGAATATTTCAACATTTATCTAAACAATATTGCTATTTTTAACCAAAACGACAAGCTCGAAAGTTAGAACATGTACGTTTTAGGTCCTAATTGGTCCTAAATCAAATACAATTTGAAGTTTGCCCGCGATAGTTGATTGTAAACAAACTTCATAGTGCAATTAATGCTAGTGCTGGCAATGGTCAGAACGGATGTAATATTCATCGTCTTCCTTCCCGTCTAAGATCTCTCTTCCCTTCATTATCTGTATCATTTACTTATCTGGTTATGTAAACTTGTTTTTGATATCGATATAGTAGATCTTGCATGCGTGTGCTAGAACAGTCTTCTGTTTATATGTATCAAATCCTATAACCCCCCTACTCCTACGTGTGCGATACCCTAAAATAACACCTTCCAATTATATTCTTATTTTCTTAATCTGGGATATGTTATTTTATAATTTAGCGTTAAATAATCAAGCATCTGAATTGCAGATTTATTCCAGACACATCTCCATTTTCGGTTGTAATATAATATTATTAATTTCATTTTTATTGACATAATTTTTTAGTATTATATTATTATCATCATATATTTTATTGGTTGGCATTTGTTTTTGAGTTTTCATAGACCATGTTGCAACAAAATATATATTTTGAAATTTATATCTTACGAGATCTCAGCTGGTCCATATTCAGTAATCAATGAGATTACTGCATTTTCAATTGCCCTATTTCACTATGAAAACAATCTATYGTTTTCACGCAAAGGATCATGGTCGTCAGAGGRGGTCAAATCAACGCAAATTCACCGAAAACTGCTCTAAAACCCGTATCAATCCACAAAAAGAAGAATAGCCAGCAAACACTCGGAATATTTCTTAGTAAATATTAACACGTATTATATCTGAAAACCAGGCCATTTTAGATTCAACTGTTTCGCTAGGAGCAAATTTTGTTGAATTTTCTATGGGATTTGCCGATTCTATCCCCCACATAAACAAGCAGTGATGTCATAGTGAAACAGGGCAATTGGACCATCTTGACACATAATATTATAATCCTAATGTTATGATGTCAAACATCGGTTTTTAATTATTTTTGTTATAATAATTTTAAGGATGTCAATAATTCCGTTCTAAATATGGGAAATTAAAGAGAGATAAAAATAATTGTCTTTATTTAGAAAGGATGACATGTGGCAGTTGTCAACTTAGCAGTGATAAACTTGTGGCCCTCTATGTAAAAAAAACTGTCATCCGAGCCATAGCAAAGGTCCATTTGCTGATATATTTAGAGCAAAGGCAGCACCTTCTACTAAGATATTTTAAGCCCCTGATTGTTGGCCAGCCAAGGCTTAAACCTAGACCTCCCACGCAACAGTCTGGTGCCCAACAAACTGAGTCTACTGGGAGGTGGTATTATAGTTTGTTTGTGAAGTAATGGGAAATGTATTTTATTTTTACAGAACCAGGAGGAACAGAAACCAATTCTTCAGAGCCAAAGGCTTATCAACATCCAATTGCTATAGTGTCCTCAGTTAGGGAATCTTTTCTTCTTCGACCAACAATGATACCTCTTCGTTCGGCACCAAGTATGGCTGCATCTCCATGCTTGACAGGAGCAAGCTTGTTTTATTCAACTCAGTATATCCCAACTCAACAGTTTGCAATGAACCAGCCACAAGCACCATTTCCAGTGTCAGTTATGCCTCCTTTGCTTCACGTACAAACCAACAATCTCTCTACGGCAAGACCAAATAATATACACATGCCAGAAAGAGAGGTTCATAAAAAACGCAAATCCATGCAGGAGTCTGAACCAATGGATACAGGCTCAGTTGTTAATAGTGCTAGTGATCAACGGAGCTCTGTTGGGAGCCTTGAAGATCAAAACTTGAAAATGGAGGAGACTTCTCCCCTTCCGTTATCACTGACGACTGATGAGAGTCCTCCTAGTACACCCTATTCATCTGCATCTTCACCTACAGCAATTGGTGCCATGTCTCCAACATCTCCTCCGCTGTTGCACTCTCCAACCACAAATGAAATGTGTGCAATATGTGGAGATAGAGCTACTGGTCATCACTATGGGGTGCCAAGCTGTGAAGGCTGTAAAGGATTTTTTAAACGAAGTGTACAAAATAAAAAGGCTTATRCTTGTCGTAATTTGACAAAGGATTGCCCTATGGACAAACGGCACCGTAATAGGTGTCAATACTGCAGATTTCAAAAATGTTTAAAAGTTGGGATGATTAAAGAAGGTATGATAAAACTGTTTATTTGTCTACAAATGTGGAATTTATCAGAAATTTATTAGGAGTGCRTGCAGGGGGCCACGACCAGCTTTATCTTGGTTAGCCATACTGGTTCCTCTAGTGTCAAAGTTTTCAGCCCCCTTCCTTCAATTCCTGAATTTGCCCCTGTTAATTGAGGATTTTAATGATCTCTTTATTTTCAGTCCTCTTATTTATTAAACAAAACTAATGTTGTAATTTACCCTCTCTTGGCTTACCCGCATTAGACTAGTACAAAAACCTTCAGATTTTATCAAACCCTAAAACAACCTTTGGGGCTTATCAAGGTCTCACAGGTCGAATTGGAATTTAGCTGGTTAGGTTTTTTGGAGGGTGATCATTGGAGAACCCAGATAAAAACACTAGAATCAAGGGAGAGGCCTAACAAACTTTGCTCATATGATGCTTATAGCTACCCTTTTCGAGTTCCAAATTACTGCCGTGTTCCTTGATTACAGACTCATTTACTCAGGGTTAACCTTGTACATCAGTGTCTAAATATTCACTAATGTCAACAGTAAAGTAAAGAATGCACACCTTTAACAATAAAAACACTTTGAAATTTCATAAAGCTTAACTGGAACACATGAATATTCTGCTCAAAGTTGAGGCTAAGCCTGAGCAACAGAGAACTCGAAACTGGAGTGTTTCAGGAATCGAACCTGAGACCCAAAGGTGAGAAGAGAATGCACTACTAAAAACACCTAAAATTTCCAGTACAGTAATGAGCACGTAAAAAGAAAAAAGTTTGGTCTAGAATACTTATGTGATATATATATTTATGTTTTTGAAAAGCTGTAAGAGAAGATAGGGCACCAGGAGGAAGACACAAGAACTCACTAACACAACCAAAAACTAAAGACGACCAACAACCACCATGCAAGCAGCCAAGGAAAAGCTTATCAATGATGTCGCCTTGTAAAAACCCTGAGCCACCTGCACCTTTACCAGATCTTATTGACAAAATTATCACTTTTGATTCCGTTAACACTGGAAATATGGAAGACTGTTTGGGCTGCAAGGAAACTGAACTGAAGGAAAAGACTTTGGCACATGTCACACAACTGGCTGAACAACAGTTGGTTAGGAGTTTGTCTTGGTTTGAAAATCTGCCACTTTTGAAGGATATAAGTAAATCAGACAAGGATACTTTAATCAAAAATTGTTGGGTAGAGCTTATGCTTGCTAATTTGATTAAACAGTCACAGAATTTAGAGGATAAAGCTATGCTCTGTAAAAAACAAATATTGGATTATGAGACTGCTGAGACAACAGGTATTGGAGATATCATGCAAAGAGTTGTACAAATGGCAAGTAAATTTAGGGAATTTCAACTGGATCAGGTGGAGTTTGTTTGCATGAAGATTATTGTCCTGTTAAATCCGGGTAAGTGAGATATTTCCGCTAAGTGGTTTTTTGTTGATGCTTCATGAAGTTTAGAATTACAGATTTTTGTGGAGGGAGTAGGAGGTAAAGCGAAAACCCTTGACTCGGTTTTCGTATGAGAGTATAGTTTCTTGTTCATTCTCTCCAGGTTTTACTGGTTTTCCTTCCGCTGTAAAAATCAACAGCTAAATTCTAATTGCCCTATTTCACTATGACGTCACATCAAAACAATCTATTGTTTAAACGCAAAGAATCATGGTCGTTGGAGAGGGTCAAATCAACGCAAATTCACCAAAAATTGTTCTAAAACCCGTGTCAATCCGCGAAGAGAAGTAGAATAGCCAGCAAACGCTCAGAATATTTTTTAGTACATATTAACATATATTAAATCTGAAAACCAGGCCATTTTAGATGTTTAACTGTTTCRCTAGGAGCAAATTTTGTTAAATTTTCTATTGGATTTGGCAATTCTATCCCCCACATAAACAAGCAGTGACGTCATAGTGAAATAGGGCGATTGGAACTTAGTCTATGAAGAGCCATTGTGTGGAAATGCCATTAATAAATCTGGAATATTTTATGTAATGATTTTATTTTATGGATTTTAGATGTAGTTGGTCTTGAAAATCAGGAGCTAATTGAACAGTTACAGGATAAATTCCACACAGCTCTACAAAACTACATCAAAACTACGTTCCCAAAGGAAACCAATCGATTTGGTAACATATTGCTCAGATTACCAGAATTACGTTCCATTGGAACCAAGAGTATAGAAYGTCTGTTTATGCTAAACCTCACAGGACAGATCCACCCTAGTGATTCCCTTTCTGATCTACTTCATTCCGCCAAGCGTTAGTAAACAATACTTACACTGTACACATTCTGTAAGGGAAAATGCTGATAGACTCCTGAAGCACTTAACAGGAAAAATTTCATGGCTGTTTCAAGGGCATGCTTGAAGTCTTTGGTCTCGTACATAATGCTCTGGTACTGAAGATAAGAGGTAGAATAAGGATAGTAATGGTTGTATGTAAGCAGTCTGTTATAGCAGACATATGAGAGCAGGTTTTGTGTGTCTGTGGAAAAATGTAGCCTGTTCTGTTTCTGGATATTGCCTGGATTCTTGTGTTTTGGTTCCTGTTGATCAAAAAATTACTCTCACACCATTTTATAGACCATGCTTCATATCTTAAGCTTCAGACTCAATTGTGAGGCTTTGCTCGTATGGTATTTCATGTTTGATACAAACATATGGATCATGAAATACATTAATTTATTGATGGGAATGAAATAATGTACTTTTTATAATGTTCCTGCCTTTCGGCAATTATTATAAAAGTTTGGTAGAAATGCTAGCGAATTCGCTACTCAACGACGTATTTGAATCTACAGCACTGTTTCTACTTCTGCTTTTGAGGTTTGGTGCAATTTTGAACATTTTATTCTGGATAGCCTAGCTATCGAATATTAATATTTTGAACATGGCCTTTTATAAATGTGATGATGGTTTCGTATAAACAAAGATTGTCGTAAAACACAAGAAAATGTCAGAAAAGCAAAGTGACAAAAATTACTAGTAATGTTGGTAACGTCACCAGGTGCAGTATTTCCATGTCATGAGTGTTCTCTCAGCGACCCAAAATTTGCTATACTAGGCAGTATTATGTAGATAGAATTCAAGGCAGACTTAAACAGAAGGTAAGAGGTATATATCGTAGAACAGCAACCAGACTGTTTTAGAGATTAAGATTGTCTTATGACATATTGTTACTGGTCATTTACGTGTATCTCATGTAGGCCTTTTCTGACACAGTGAACATGGTGCATTCTGGTCTAGATTGAGTGTAAACTGTTTGTAATGGTACCCAAGATAGACATGAATGAACCTTCATTGTTTGATTGAGAAATAGCAAATAAGGACATATTTTTATGTAAAGGAATTGTACTTAAAATATTGAAATGTATATTGTTAGGTAGTAACACTAAGTGTTATATCTTTTACACGTAATAATTATTGTATATTAGATAATAATATTATCGTTCCACACATGGTATAACCAATACATATGTGTCAAATCTAAAATCTACACTTGATGTAGAAGTAATCTTTATCCAGAGCAGAATTATAAGGTATAATAACAGTATAGGTAGACTTATAGAGCACAAACACCAAGTGTGCAAACCAAATAGTACTAGATAGTGCTACATTATGCTAATTCTATTGCGTAGTTCCAGAAATATCCATATTCCCACCACAGAGGAAGTTTTTAAAAGGACCCCCTACCCCCAGGAACTTACAATTTTCTTCCATACAAACGCTGTAATTCATTCATTCTCTTATCCCCCTCTACTCCAGGGTTTCCAATTTCCTCCTTGGGTGGGGTATGGATATTTTCTGGAACTTCACATTGTTTAAATAGTGCTATTTAGTGCTAAATAGTCCAAAGTATTGTATAGTTTTAGTGTTTGTACTCTAATGACAAATATTTGTTTTGGTTTAACCAGAAATCTATTGTTTCTTTAATTTCCTGTGAGATTTCTTCCCATGCTAGGACACACACTACACTGGTCTCATAGGGCTGTAGATCTGTACCACAATGTTGTTTTGAATGAGAACTTTAGGATAGAAAGTTTCAAATTGCATGTAAAACTCCATCCTATATAGATTAATGAAATGCATTGCTTGTTATTTTTCATGGTCAAAATTTCAAAAATGACGCTTTCAATTTGATTATGGTACGTCAAAAATTAAAATAATAATATGGCAGCATAAAATTTAGACTAACAGTAAAAATGCTGGATTTTTGTTTTCTTAAGAAGACGTCCAGCAAGAATTGGAACTTTTTGGTCAAATCTTTTACTTGCCAGTCATTTTTAACCAGAAATGAGGTGACTGCTCTAAGACAAATGATTATTTGGATGGTCATCATGACTGGTGACTGCCGGCTGTTGTTATTAGTCCTGGGAATGCTCAATTGTTAGCAGAAAGGTTAAGATTCTTGTATGCATTAATGATTAGTATGCTAGCTGTTTCCATTAGTGGGTTGATGGGGCCATAGGTATTTGTCATTTTTGCAATGCATTATGGTACCTAGTCCTCAAAGCCGCAGGGCTGTAAGAGAAGTATCCGATAGTTTTTTTGGCAGATACTCATAAATCTTTTTTTTTTAAGTTACCAAATCTCTTTTCTAAGACCAGCTGTGAAGAGAATCAGAAAAGGCATTGTGTAAAGGATAAGGACATAAATGATTCATTGTGCTGTCAAAAAGATGCCAGGGAAGATAAGTAGGCTAGTTCCAGTAAAGATGCTCACCACTGATTGGTCAATTCTTCTAAAACCATGGCTAGAGTCTGATTGGTCAATCTACTTGTCAAAAATTCCTACTAGAAATTGCAAGAATTTTTTTAACTGAACTGGTTTTCAGTCTGGACCTGGACATAATTATTGTAAAAATGTTATGCTTGAGAGCTCTAAAGCTAAAAACCCTAGAAGTTGTGAAGCTAAAAGAAACAAGAAATTAGCAGTATTAAGCATAAAATAAATGTTCTGATAACATACCAGTAAACGGGAGTCAAAGACTTTGCTTCCAAGTGGAAATTAAAAAAAGGGAAACTATGTTGTGGTGCAAAGTTTTTCCATTACAGGTCACTGTATTCATATTCATGTKTCTTCTCATTATGTGCAACAGTTAAAGAAAAAATCAATACTTTTGGGAATTACATGTTGTCTAGTATTGGGAAAACATTTGCACCAGGAGGAATTAGTTCTGTTACAGGAATAGGCTTATACCCCATTCACACCTAAACGTGTTTAGTTAAACTATGTTTT